TTATTTTTATGCATGTTTAACGTGACATATGCATTTCCTTAAACTTTACCTGGCTGGAAAAGTGCACTGAAAAAATGAGAGGTGTGAATTTTGAAGGATGCCTTTGTTTTGGCTCTCAGATTGTTTCGGAAAGCACAAATTAGATAGAGTTGCCTATAAATGCCAACTGAATTAAATCCCCCCCCCCCATCTCTACCCACAGCCTGCTACCCATCAGAATGACTGCCTACTGGTGGGGAGTTTTATAGCAGGCAAAATCAGCCGCCCTGAATAACTTGATGCCCAAGGCAAGGAGGATGATAACAGACAAGCTTGCATTGCCTGCGGCTCTCCTTTAGCCTGTGGTTCTAAGGTGTTTTCAGGCAATAACATTAACATACCAATGCTAAAACCAAGGGTGTTGACAGAGTGCACACAGAACCACAACCCCCAACATCCCAGGTGTGTCGGCTTCTGTTTAGACTTTCATGATTAGTCTGAAGAGTTTTTTAAACAAGGAGACCAAGGAGAAGGAAGCTGACAGGCTGTGTCACCTCTTGGACCCATAAGTAAAAAGGCTGGTAGGTGGGGCCTGGCTGAGGGAAGACTGATGTTGGTGGGACAGGGACTTATTTGCCCTAATGGGTCAGCTTCCACTGTTAAAGGTTCTCTGTTGGACAACCATGATGTTTGCCACATTTATAGGACTTCGAAATTCTTGAGCATTCTGTCTATAATCCTGCACACTGAGGTGGAATGGTGTGAATTGCTCCCTTGGGTTTCTTCTCTTTCTGAGAATGGGTTTTCTATCCGTTGCCTAAGGCATACGTGGGCAAAGCTTTGGACTTGCTGGTGGCCAATGTTTTTCAATAGCTGGCTCACAATGTCTAGGGAATGAGCAAAGAGACTGTTCCGGAAAGAGATACAGTGGTACCTCGGTTTATGAACTTAATCCATCCTGGAAGTCCATTCTTCAGGCGCACTTTCCCTAATGAGGCCTCCCGCCGCTGGTGCCCTTCCACCGTTTGGCTTCCATTCTTAGACTGAGGTAAAGTTCGCAAATTGGGACACTACTTCTGGTTTTGCAGAGTTCGTAAACCAAATAGTTCATAAACAGGGCTGTTCTTAAACCGAGGTACCACTGTATGTCTCTTCTGCCCCCTCCCAGCTAAGGAATGTGGTAACCCAGGTCTCTGTGGAAGCAGAAAATGAAAAGAATAGACTGGCAGACTGAGGTGGGATTGTTGGGGTTCTGAAGTTGTTAACAGTTCTCCCTGTGGCTGCAGTGAACTGGGGAAGTTGCTGGGGTGTTTAATGCTGAACCCCTCTCTAAGGTCAAGCTGTATATTTGTAATAAACATAAGTATTACAAAATGTGAGCAAGTATTCTTCCAAAGGAAACCAAGCCTTGGTAGGGTTGCATTTTCCTACCCTTTGGCATTTTTTGAGAGAATAAAAGGGAAAGAGAGGGGCAAGGAAAGAGAAAGGATGAGAGGTGAAATGAATGGTGACCAACCATGTTGCAGGTGATCTTGCAAAGCGGAGAACTGTTGTCTTAAATCAGTTATAAGTAAAGGAAGCAACTTAATGGAATAGGACAAAAAATGGCATTGCTTAGAAAATTAGCACATTAAGTGAAGGTACTGCATGTTACGGTAATTTCTATTATTAGAATTTTCCGGGAACATTAAACTTTAAATTTTACAACTTTTTAAAAAGAAGGAAGTGATTAAGAAGTACAAAGTCTGCAGTCTCACTACCTAAGAATACACATACCCACCCGCCCACCCTCCATTTATTATCCATGTCCAGATAACAAACTGGAATCATATCATGTTGGGTGGAAAGTTTCATTGTATAATTAATTCTCCATGCTGGTTAGCTCAGCTGCACCACAATCTCTTATTTTTCAAAAAACAAAAACCAACAAATTTGGGGTCTTCTCTCCCTGACCCCAAAAGGCACTGAAAACATCCAATAGTTCCAGCATGTACAAAGCAGCTATTGAGCTTTGTGTGTCAAAGTGTAACGACCATTGCACATGGAATGTATCAGAAGTCTGCAGTACATCTGCAGAACATGAGATCTCATATACAGGTGATATTGGACTTACCGGTATATCTAAATTACATTTGTTTAGAATTATGTAACCTAAAACACACTGCGACATGGATATACCGTGGTACCTCGGGTTAAGAACAAAATTTGTTCTGGAGTTCCATTCTTAACCTGAAACTGTTCCTAACCTGAGGTACCACTTTAGCTAATGGGGTCTCCTGCTGCCGCTGCACCACCAGAGCACGATTTCTGTTCTCATCCTGAAGCAAAGTTCTTAACCCGAGGAACTATTTCTGGGTTAGCGGCGTCTGTAACCTGAAGCATCTGTAACCTGAAGTACCGCTGTAATACTATCCTTTTAGTACTGCATTTCGTATAAGATAACCAAAATGCTACAGGTGCTTTTGAGAAATATTTTGGAGGACATGGGAAGAAAATTCTAAACCATAAATAAACCTCTAAATTCTTTTAATAAAGGACAAGCAAATGTATATCATGACAGAGAATTTCAGGGAAGAAAGCTATTAAATATTAAGCAATTACATTATGTGAATTAAATTAGCAGTGCCAGTAAGGCAGAACTTGTTCTAAACAAGTTTGTAGAGAACAAATCTCCAAGGCTGTCATAGTTTAAAAACACAAAATAGTTTCAAAATAGCCTTAAACACACATAGTTAAATACAGAAAATTAGAAAATGCAGAAATAAAATTCAATGAATAAGTAAAAGTTTTTTGACATGCAAAATACCCCAGGTGCTAAATTATTTCTGAACATAAGACATGAGATTGTCTGGTGGCTTTTCAAATTGACTGAAAACTTCCCAAAGCAAAACAGCATCTAAGCTAAAATCAAGACTGCCCATATGTTGGGAGAGCTTTGAAGGTACTGAGTGATCCAAATTTGAAGATAAAAATCTGTGAAGCAGGCCAGTTCAGATTGGTGTTTGTTGCTAAACATTAATTGCGGAACCATATGCTCTGAACTGGATCTCGCAGAAGAAGAAAATCTTATTTCAGAGAAGCCACTTAACACAAGTAGCCACAGAGTCTGAAGAGAAATCTACAGTAAGTCTTTATTCAGGCCATACCAGGGGAAGAGCACGTGCAATTCTAATAGCAAATTTTGCAAAATAATTATCACTTCCAAATTTAGAAGAGAGGAGACCAGAGGTTGGGGCTCTATGTTAGGAGTAGAAAACTGTTGGGTCTAACCTTAAAAGGGTATCTGTCAAGGCTGCCTCAGGTCTCAGCTCACAAAAGACCAACGCCAACTTCTTCTTATATACAAAAGTGTTTATTGGAGTTCATTGTCTGCTTCACATCCGAGGCGCGCAGCCCCACGTCTGTTACGCTTAGACCGTTGGAGTCCCCTCTGAGTCAGTCCCTCCCCTGCACCAGTTTAAGAAGCTTGCGCTGCTCCACCTCTTTGATAAATTCGTCAGAGTTCCTGCGGGCAGGACCATCTTCGCGCCACAAATTGCGTAACCAGGCTCTAGCTTCCCCATGCAAATGGGACACAATAAAGCCTACTTTTTCCTCCTCATCTTTGAAGTCTTTCCGAAGCAAATGCAGCGCGTATACGACGTCTGCTCTGAAACTGGGATAATGCTTCAGGTTCCCATCGAAGTGGGCTACTAAATTGCCCCCCCTCCGTCCGAGTCCGATTCCCTCTGATCTGGACCCTGGGAACCCCTCTTTGCACGCATGGTCCCACCTGGCTTGCAGATCCTGGCATCGCGCTTCTGCTTCGGCAACTGTCTTCTGGGAAACCACTACCGCAGCGGAGAGCTCGGCGACTGCGTTTTGCAGGATCGTTAGCTGCTCCTCAGTAGTCATGTCCGCCAAACTTCATGAGCTTTGCAAAAAATTTTTTTGCGGTTTCTTGAGAGGGGACTTACTGTCAAGGCTGCCTCAGGTCTCAGCTCACAAAAGACCAACGCCAACTTCTTCTTATATACAAAAGTGTTTATTGGAGTTCATTGTCTGCTTCACATCCGAGGCGCGCAGCCCCACGTCTGTTACGCTTAGACCGATGGAGTCCCCTCTGAGTCAGTCCCTCCCCTGCACCAGTTTAAGAAGCTTGCGCTGCTCCACCTCTTTCTCTCTTTCCTTTTCCGCAGGGTCTTCCTGCCCCCTGGGGTTTCGCCCCTCCTGGATTCCCCTGAGGCGGAATCTCCAGATTGCTCTTCCCCCCTCCTGTGGGCTTTGGGACCTGGCTCCTCCTCCGGGCTCCCTGTACTTCCGCGCGCCTCCACATTTGAACTTGGCGCGCGCCCAACCTCTAACCTTCCTTTTGACAGTTACACTACTCCCTTCACTACTCCCCTCCCCTTCCGGGAAGGTGGCTTGCTCTGACCTCCCTCCCTTCTCTGCTGCCGGAGCTGCTTCCCCTGATACACTGGAACTTCCACTCCCTTCGCTGCACTCCGGCGGGGAGGCTGGTCCTGACGCCCAGCTGCCACTTTGGGATCCCCTGCTGGCCCCCTGCTCCTGACACGTCCCCCCTGGGGCTCCCCTGGCCTTGACCACCGGCGCCCCCTTCTGGGAATCCTCTGATTCGCTGGAAAGACTCATGGAATCTCTTGAGTCATTGTCATCCTCTTCCTCGCTGTCCTGGGATTCAACCCCATCGCTCTCCATCTCCTGCCTACCCTGTGCCTCTGTCCCTGAACCCCTGACAGTATCTGTTAATACCACTGAACTTTATAGAGTTCAGAGGGACTACAGTGTACAGAAAGTAAATTCATAGCCAGTTTCTCTAGAACAACCTCCCCCAACTTGGTGCCCTTCAGATGTTTTGGACTACAACTTCCATCAACCCCAGCTACCAAGGCCACCTGTTTAGGAGTTATGGAAGCTTTCATCCAAAACTTTGGGAGGGCAGTATCTGCTGCTGTGGACCAAAAGTCAGAATGAGTAACTATTAAGTAGACACGTTCTGAAATATACTCGGAGTCGAGAGTGGATTTCATGCTCTTTATTCAGCTCATTGTGGTGAGGAGGAATGGAAGTTCCCCCAGAATGTCTGCTTTATATACATTATTTACACAATGGGCCCCACGTTGATTGGCTAATTCCAGGATTCACCTGTAGGCCAATCTGATTGCGGAGTCACTTCCACCTGGAGCTGGTTTGGGTGGCTCCTGTAGACCAATCAGACTGCTGCATTCTGAATCCTATTGTTCTAGGACCAATCAGACTGCTGCCTTTTTGATCCTATTCAACTCAGTACATAACACGTTCCTATTAAACAGGTAATTTCTAATGAATACAAACTTGCAAAACTTGAAAATAGAGTTATGGAGCTAGAATTCAGTGAAGCGAAGAAAGCCTAACCAAAGAACAGAGTGTTGCTTTTGACTGCACACATTTCCTGTAAGTTCCCTTTTATTGTGGGAGAAACATCAGCTTGAGGAGGCTGGGTTTTTGCTTGCAAAATAGAAAGGGAGGGGACTTAGCAGTCTCTCCTTGTTTTCCATCTCCCTCAAGCGGCTTCATTTTTTTGTTTTTGTTTTAAGCACCAGCTGAAGAAAGAATCCCATAATGCCTAATGTGCACTTGATCCTGAAAAATTCTCCACCTTCCATTTTCTACCATGAGAATTGTTGAGCAAAATCCCCCCAAAAACCCAAAAAGATCATGACTCAGGTTTCAGCAGAAACATTATAACACATTCAGGATCTTATCAGGCTATAGTTAAGGAATATGTCACTGTGTTAACATTTGTACAATTTTGATAGATTTTGATATTTTCCATGGCTGGAAAATAATACAACTGCAGATTAATAAAGCATTTCTCCATTGTGCATCTCTAAGAATGAATTTTTAAAACATGAGCTGACCTCAATGTTATTTGCACATCTCTTGATTGTGTACAGGAACACCCATAGTTTGTTGTGACTTGGAGATGCTTTAGATGTTCCCTTGGGAGAGCTGGGGAGGCTCTGTTTATCTGACCTCTTGTGGAATGAAGAAATTCTGAATCATATGACAGGCTTTTGTTGTCAGGGTGCCAGTGACTGTCCTCAAATGCCTACTGAGGAACAAACTGATCTTAATGAAATCTTCCCTTTATAGAGCATAAATAAATACATTCAGTAAAACCAAAGATGTGTATTGTGTTAGTCAACACACATAATACTATCGGTATCATTACATATTTTGGGACCGATCAGAGGCTTTATCATGCAGAACAACCACAAAGCTATTTATAGGCTATTCTGCAAAATAGCTGCAAGGGTTGTTAACTGGCCAACCTGATGCTGTGTCTTCAATAGCAATTTGATCTTTCTTATGAACCAACTCAGCTGTTGTTGGCATCCGTCTACCTTGGGAGACAGTAGAGAAGTGTGCCTTTGTGGCATACTTTGTGGGTGAAGTCCAATTGTTGGAAGGTTACAGTGCCTGCTGTGGCTGTAGAGTCCAAAAAGTAGAGACATGTTTTGTTGCAGCTGGGGCAGATGAAGGCATCCAGCTGTGTTGCTGCAGAAGCACAATGGCATTTCTTCTGTCTGCAGTCCTCCTAGCAGGCATTCCTCCTTTGGTCACTGCTATGGATGCAAGACCTGCCCATCGGTCTCCAAGCACTGCGGTTGTCTGCAAGGGATTCCCATATGGTGGGGTTGATGTTGCCAACCTTCATGTCTCATTTGTAGACATCTTTGTAACACCCCTCCATGGCCTCCTCTTGCAGTGTTGGGAAAAAGGATCTATGCCAAAAGACATGCTCGATCCTCTGCAAGAACAAAGGTGACCACCAAGACAATAACAACTACCATGGAACCCCCCTGCTGAGTATTCACTGACAGGGTCTATCCAGAGTCATAATGTAGCTTTAGAAGTCAACCGTCAACATGATTTTCTCACTGTGCCAGCTGCAGGAGAAATGCTGAGAGCAGAGATGCCCCTAAGCTTCACAATGTGACGGTGTTCTTGCATGAGAACATGTGCGGCACTGTCCAGTAGATAGCTCATCCTCGGATGCCTTCCCCATAAAGAGCGGTGTGAAACAGGTCTGTGTCCTCACCCCAACTCTATTTGGCATATTCTTCTCCCTAGTGGTCTCATATACCTTCAGCTCAACTGAAGACAGTGTGTTCAGTGGTACCTCTAGTTACGAATTTAATTCGTTCTGGAGGTCCATTCTTAACCTGAAACTGTTCTTAACTAGAGGCGTGCTTTTGCTAATGGGGCCTCTTGCTGCCGCTGCACCACCAGCACACAATTTCCGTTCTCATCCTGGGGCAAAGTTCTCAACTCGAGGTAACTCTTCCAGGTTAGCGTAGTTTGTAACCTGAAGTGTTTGTAACCTGAGGCATTTGTAGCTCGAGGTACCACCGTACTTCCATTTGAGGAGTGACAGGCGTCTGTTCAACTTGGCATGTCCCCACACCAAGACAAAACTGTGGTGGTTTCTTATCTGAGAGATGTTGTTTGCAGATGACACAGCCGTGACAGTGCAGCCCAAATCTACAGAGACTCATCAACTGTTTTGCCCAAGCCTGCAGGGAGTTACCATCAGCCTGATGAAGGCCATCATCCTGGGTCAGGACGTCACCAACACTCAATGAATCAGCACTGGTGACCACACGCTTGAGGTGATAGACTATTTTGTCTGCCTAGGTTCCACCATAACCAGCAACCTCTCCATTGACGCTGAGCTAGACAAGCATTATTAGAAAGGCAGCTATGGCTGTAGCTTGCCTCTCCAAAAGGGTATGGAAGAATGAAGGTCTGCCAAGGCTTGCCTGTTCAGCACACTGCTTTATGGAAGCGAGGCCTCAACGCCTTCCACATGTGCTTCATCTGGAAGACTTTAGGTATCACATGGCATGACAGAGTCCCAAACAAAGATGTGCTCACTCAAGCCCACATTGCCATACCTGGCCAACTTTTTTAAGCCTTTGGAGTAAACAGGAGGAAAAGTCCCAAATAGCAAGCCTTTTGCTTGCCTAGTTCACTTGCCCTTCAAAAGGAAGGTTCAGGGAAAGCGTTGCTTGTGCATAGCATGTGTCTATACCTCTTATGTACCTTCCACATTCTGTAACCTGTGCCTTCTCTATGTACCAATTAGATCTATGCATTAACACCTTGGGCAGAAACAGAGCTGGGCATTTAAGCTCTTTGCCTGGCAATGAGGGACAGGATAGGCAGCACACACACCCAAAATAGTAAGGCACACAGTATAAAGGATATGTCCTGGAAGGCCCTAAGTAAAACACATGCTTTTTGTTGTATATATCTGCCCTCTGAGATTGAGAATCAAATTGCCACTTCCTTCTAACTTCATTAAGTGCCATATCCCCCTCATTCTTGGGGGGCAAAAGGGATAATTTTTTCCATTTGCTGTTTTAGAGTGCCTGTGGTATTTTGTATTAATAAAGTGACCCAAATGAAATAATAAAAAATTCTTTTTAAAAAAAGCAACCACCACCAAATCAAACAAACAAACCCAGCTTTACATTTACATTAAAATTGCCTGATCTGTGAACATCTGCTCAATTCTTATGAAAACATTTCCATCATGTTGGAGGAAATTACCTTTTAATGCATGGGTATAGTGGCTCCCATATGAGCAATGAATTATCTTGGTGGTCTATGCATTAGATGTGCTGCTTTGTTTTCAGGCTATACAGATGGAGTCACCGAGATCTCTTCTCTCTGAGGGTTGGATTACTTTTAATGGGTAGTGCACCATTTTTTGCTCCCTGTTTCAGCTAGGAAAGATTAATGCTTTTTTAGAGTGGATGGGAGAAATTATGAAGTTTAACAAGGGAAATTCCAGAGACCCACTCCAAGAATCCTGTTTAGCATTACAATCCACAATCAAAAGTGAGCTGAGGTAGTAGCCATTGAATACTTGTTTCATTTTTTAAAAAGAAAAAAAAAACATTTGCTTAATGTCCTAGCTGCCTCTTATCTGCATTCCCCCCCTCCGTTTAACAGAACTACAGTGTGGGTCAATGCCCTTTTATTCATGTAAATATTTTAACATATGCATGGTATCACTGGCTATCACAAAATGGTTCCAGTTGTTCTATTCACATATTCTTGCATACATAACTGCAAAATTGCTTGCAATTGTGTGTGCTATCCCACTTCCGCTGTGGAATTCCCCTTACCTAGGCCTATGAATGATGGAACACCTTCTTAATTTTCTGAAAGTTATCTCTTCTGTTTTCCTGATATACCATGTAAGAAAATCTCTGAGTCTCCATACGGTAACCATTCTGGAAACCAGATTACCCATATTTCTTAAGAAATGAATTTGGGGATCCTGTTGCCCTAGGGAGGCCAGAATACATGTATTCTTGGTGAACAGATTTGAGTCAACAGAACCTTGATGCTCACAATGTATTTCATAAATGTACAATAGCAATAACATGCATGAATACATATTAGAATCATGTGCAATGCATTCTACTCACAATTAAGCCCCATTTACTTTCTCCCTGGGAAGCATGCATAGGATTGGAGTCTTAACTTTTAAAATTGTTATTAAAGATTAGAACTACCCCAACCATCCCAGTGGTGCCTCCAAACAAACAAACAAACAAAAAAAACCTACCCCAACCTCTTAAATGGATCCTTGCAGTTGCACAGATTTTTCTGATACAAATAAGTTCTCCATTACGTAACAAGTGGTAATGATAAAAAGAGCAAATGATAAAATGAGCAGTAAACATGTCGCCAGTTTTAGTAACAGTAATTAAATAAATTACTAAGTATAAATGCAGGCTCACTTACTGCAGGCAATACGTTTTCTCCAAACAAATGCATTCTGTTTCTATAACATTACAACTACAGCCATGAGGAACATGTGCTAGATAAGATACACAATCAACATAAGCAGAGTTTATGTTTCACAGGCATATCCGTTCAGGAAAGCATGGAAATGCCTGAAATGGGGGGATGCAAAAGAGAAAGTGAGACACAAATATTGAGGGAGAAAGGGAGATATTAATATTCAGTGGGATGCCTGTTGATCTATCACTATGAATGACAGAAAGTGGAATTTTTCAAGAAATTTTCAAGAAAAAGGTTAACAAAAACCTTCCCCTGGACAAACTATAAAGGTAGTTCCCTTTACAGAAGCTAAAAATTTATGTGGCTAAAGGCCAGATGTGAAGTTAAATGCATGAATGCATTAAGAACACAATCCTGTACATGGACTCCTTCAGGAGAAAGCATGGGATATAAATCAAATTAATAAATGTGAATAATAATAAAAAGAAATAAGTTCAATTGAGTTCAATGCTGCTTACTTCAAGGAAACCAGGGATAAGACTCCAGCTTGTTTCCCCACTTTGATGTTGTTGGGTACAGCTCCTTTACCCTCAATGGTCAGGGATTATGGGATTTGTAGTCCAAAAACATCCTGAGGGAACTTTTTAAAAATCAACAGGAAAGCAACAGAAAACTAGTGATCTTCCTCTTATGCTCCACTTTTCTATACATTTCCCCACCTATCAACACGTTAAAAAATATCAATGAAACAAAGCAAATATAACGTGATTAGGGATATGCCATTTTCAGAGGTCCAACAAAGCTCTTAGCATCTCTCCATACCTTTGAATTATTCATCTTTTAAAAGCCAAGATGCTGTTCATTAAATATTGAAGAATAAGTTACAATAATGTAACAGCAACAAATGGAAAGGATATGTTGGGAGGTGAAGCTGCCATATGGACAATGATATTACTGCCCTTGCTTTGAATCTCCCCCCACACCGAAAAGAGGCTAGCAAACAGATGTTTCTCCAAGCATGCATTGCACATTGTGTCTAGTGCTGGGGCGTTAATGACTACCATTTCCAGGAAACAATGCTTCAGATTCAATGTTTCAGGTCTACGATTTGAATTTTCTAATACATACTGCATGCTGGGCTCCTTGTGTGGTCTTCTTCAAGGTTTCTATTTAGGTTTGTCTGCATTAGAGTGAAGCCAGACATAAAATTCTAAATACGGGAAAGTTGTTTGAACACACCATTCTGGAAACAGCTATACTGAAATGCAGCAAATGTGGTTTGATGATGATACTTCCACTTCGCACAGGTCTTAAATGTGACATCTGTCTTCATCCTTACATCACAAACCTAAGCACATTTACATGGCAAAAGGGTCCACTGAACTTGGCACACAGTGTTGAAGTTCTTCCTCTCTTTCCCCTAATAATCTCAGTCTGAAATAATATTTCTTTTCAAAGCAGTCCCCTAAACATCCGGACCCTTGTTCCCAAAGAATAGACATAACATGAAAAAGTCTTGCGTTCTCAGAAAGGGTGTCCCTGCAGACTTCCTTCCTGACTGGACTTCGGAAGTGGGTCTCAACATCACTGAACCCATGAAATCAAGTCGCCTGGTAAACCCACAGTCACAGATTTACGAGAGCACAGCCTTTATTTTACTACACTACATCAAATTCTGTTGCATTACATGTTTGGCAATAAAAAAATATATTTTGGAGTTTTAATGCTAGCTAGCTCACTCTTGTGAACTGCTGGACGGCGGAAACAAGAACTAGGAACTAGGAAACAAGGCTAATAAAATGACTTGCAATGTTTTTTGATTAAAGTGTTTTGTTAAGACAAAATGAAAACCAAAGCTTTTCCTTCTTCAGGAAACTACGCCTCAAACTACAAGTTACACACAAATGCATATAATGCTCACCAGAAGGCTAAAAAACAAAACAAAACCATGATCTTCAACCTTCCCATCTCAATTACTAATGGCTTTAATTGAATGTGGTATTTCCCTTGTTATTATACATTACATTTGCATGTAACCTGATGGAGGATGATGATCAGGCCTGCCAGACATGTCCCTTGCATGCTAGTGCACACCTATCACCTGCCCCTCCTGTGCCATGTGCCTGATATCAGTGAGAAAGAAGTGCACACAGGGCTTCCTGTCACATGGATGAAACTGAGTACTTGGCAAGTGGGAGGCATGGCTGGTGTGCATGATCCCACTCCACTCTGTGTAGTTTGGGCCTAGATACTGAACATTTATCTTGGTTAGGGTGAGCAAACTAAGGCACATGACCTTTTCTTGCAAGCAGTTTCAAGGCTTTGTATAATCTGAGGGCCAATGGCAATGGAGTTGGACTGATTCAGACTTTGTTTAGCTCAACCACCCCTAACCTGGTGTTCTCCAGCTGTTTTGGTTTACAAATTCTGGCATGGCCATGCTGCCTGGGTGAAGTGGAACCTGCAGTCCAAAACAGGTGGGCTTCTAGCTGAGGAAGGGTGCCTTAACTGATATTGTTATAAGACCATGCAGCTTGAATGAATTAGATTATAGTAATCACTTACAGTTTATGGAGTTCAAAGGCTTTATTCATGCAAGAACTATTTACAGGATGAGTGGAGATGAGAGAAAGTAGGAGACATCTCATCTGGAGAGAACAAAAAAAAATGGCTCAGATTTTAGGGGTGGAGTTAACTTAGATGAAGCAAAGACTACAAGCAAGTGTTGCCCTCTTGTGGTTTAAAGTAACACATGCATCCATTAGAAATTCAGGACAAGGAAATGCCTTTGCTTTCTCCAACAGATATTCCATTGCTGCTTCCCCTATAACATTCAGAGCATCAGTCTTTTCCTTTCCGCATATACAAATAAATTTCCTTTCCATGAGCTTTCAGTCTCCACTCTCACATGTGCAATCTCTGCCTCTCATCTGCTTCAAATATATAAGTCCAGCCCACTTCAGAAGAGGTAAAGGCAAAAAGTTGTAGACTACCCACTGCTCCTTTAAAGCTAAGGAGGAAACTTGTTTTCTCTGCACCATCCATCCTAATCAACTAGGATAATGTATAAAAATAGAATAGAATAGAGCAATAGAAACTGGAGCATGCAGAGTTTGCTGCAGCTGCCTTTACCTCCATTTCATTTGCATCCACTCCCTTCCCTACATCACCTATATATATGCAAATATATATAAAACTGCCTTCCCCCAGGTCTTGGATGATATATATTTCTGTCCAGATTCTTTTTTGTGTGTGCAGCTTTTGGCTGATGCACTTGAAAGTGGTAATACAAAAGATTCTTGATATAACTGCATGCAAAATCAGATTAAATTTTCTCTCCCTCTACCCAACACTTGATTAATGCACATAAGTGCATGGGAGCATTGATAACACAGCACACTGAAAGAATCTGGATAGAATCATCATTTGATCAAAGCATTTCATTCTCCAAAATCATATGGACATTTCTTACATGAAATGAAGGGCTTAGGTTCTGTACTCTTTAATAATTATTATTTACTCCAGATGTGGCAGTTTTCACCCATGTCATAATGAAGAAATTAAGTCAGCACTTCATTAACAAAACCAGGTCTTTATGATAGGCCATGGTGACATTCCTGCTTTGAATGTACTACTGTACTTTCTGGTTACATACGACAGTAATCACAAAGCTGATCCCTTTCCTTATGACCAATGTTTTACTTACACAATGGCTTTCTACTAAAGGCCAAATTAGTGAATAATCAAAACAAATACTGGAGCTGTTTGTAGAAGTGATGCGATGTAGAAGGGAGCTTTTCTATTATTCCTGGCTCAGGAGTGCAATCAATCTCACCCTTTCCTTTTGGCATAACAAAATCACGGAGGCCCCCGCTGGGTTGTTTTCGTTCCATTAACCATAAGTCAACTTCACCACTTTTGTTCGGAATAATGAATCATTCTGCCAGGACCCTGGCTCCTCCTTGCCTTTAAGTCATGTTTGAAGTATTTGGGAATTTAAAAATAGTAAATAAGCAATAGTAAACATGCACAATGTCATCACGAGCAATATACCACAAACAAAAGTGTTTCAGATTATTTCAAAAACAAACCAAGACAGAAGTGCCACTCCCTTTCCTCCAACAACTGGGGGATCTCAATTTACTAGGGAGAATTTCAGTTTTCTGGGATCTGTCCCTTGTAAACCACTGTCCCTTTTTTTACCTAGTTAAACTAGTTGTTGTAGGTGGTTCAACTTGCTCTCCTAAGTTCCTAGATGAGCCTTCCTCAGCCTTCAGATATTTTGGGCTATAACTCCCATCATCCCTGACCTTTGGCAATACTAGTTGGGGCTGCCACATACATAAAATAGATGGATAGGGACAGATGTATCTTGTTTTCATTACGTGTGTATGTAAATGGATGCATATAAACACAAGCACTACAATCCAATAGCTAGGTGTCCCATTATACTTAATGTGATTTAATTCTGAGTAGATATGTATATGGGATGCGGGTGGCGCTGTGGGTAAAACCTCAGTGCCTAGGACTTGCTGATCGCAAGGTTGGCAGTTCGAATCCCCACGGCGGGGTGAGCTCCCGTCGTTCGGTCCCAGCTCCTGCCCACCTAGCAGTTCGAAAGCACGTCAAAGTGCAAGTAGATAAATAGGTACCGCTTTATAGCGGGAAGGTAAACAGTGTTTCTGTGTGCTGCGCTGGTGCAGGCTCGCCAGAGCAGCTTCGTCACGCTGGCCACGTGACCCGGAAGTGTCTCCGGACAGCACTGGCCCCCGGCCTCTTAAGCGAGATGAGCGCACAACCCTAGAGTCGGACACGACTGGCCCGTACGGGCAGGGGTACCTTTACCTTTACCTTTTTAGATATGTATAGGATTGTACTAGTGGCCACCAGGTAGTACAGAACCTGCCATTTCCCTTACTGCAGCACCTGCGATACATTTTGTACTGTTGATAACAGTATATTGCATATTTTACAAGTTAATTGTACAATGCACACGTTTGTCTTAACATTAACATTTTAAAATGTTTCTGGGGTTGTTGTTTAGACCTGAAAACTGTATATTGCATCCAGTGTTAGTCATGCTCAGAGTAGTCCCATTGAAATTAATGTGCATGACTAATTTAATTCATTTGCTTCAATGGATTTACTCTAAGTAAAACTTCATTGGCTCCCACCCTGTATCACAAAATTTAGTGCAAAATCTGGGTCCAATTTTAGCGCAGATCAGAAGCACTTCACTTCAGGTTGCATCAGATTTCACAGACATAGAATTTGTTAAGTTGTGTGCATAGGGTCTCTGAGCAGGAATGTTGCCTTTTCCAGAAGTTGTACACAGTAGGGTAAATAGGGCACTGCCCCATCAACCTCCACCTCTCCTCTGTCAGCCACCACCTGCCAGTTCCCTTGCTTAAGATCAGTCCGTGGTCCTCTTTCTTAGTCTCTGTTTTCCCTTGTAACTTTCAGAAGGGAGGAAGATAAAACTAGGATTAGCCCACTCTGCCTGCCATCGCCTCTGGCTCTACTTACTGTAATCTCCATTAATTGTGAAAAACTTAATCTCTGGTATGAGCTTGAATCCGTCCTGGAACACACTGAGGCAACCTCAGTGAAGGCAATCTGAGGCTCATAAGCCCTTAAGAGGCATCTGGAAGTTTCCAGAATCTTACCAGTCCCACCCATCCCCAAATGCTGCCTGTTCAACTTGATTGGTCAAGCTACTCTTGAGCAAGCAACTGGTCTAGCAGTTCCTTCCTTCCTTCCCTCCCTACAACCAAGGTATATGCACCACACTGTCTTCTGAAACATATTTTTAAAAATGTAAATTTTAAAAAGCCCACTTACATATCGTTGCTGAACTTGATTTGTTAAGTATGCTTACTGTAGAGTCCATATCTTGAATTTAGATGCTGAATCGATGCCATCTAGTGGTTGTAGT